CCCGCCACGGGCAACAAGCTTGCCTTCCCACTAAGCTCCGGATTGATCAGGGACCAAAAGACCGGCATACAGACAGCCCCTACGCTGTAAACAGGCCAATATGGGTAAAAATTGCCGTAGCTACCTAGCTCGACACGTTTTGAAAGTGTTTACTGCCTCCAAACGCCGAGCTGCCTCAATGTCACCCATAGAAGGTACGGTAACTCACCCACCAACCAATCATAGGCAGGTCCTGAGTGACAAAAGTACACAACCTGAGTACACACAACCAGGTTGCTATCATAAAAATGTTAGAAATTACTCGTAACATCGTATGGTAAAATTAAAATTCCAACCACTCAATGACCCCCGGTGACGCCGACAGCGCGAGCAGCAACCGCGCGCGACCCCTGACAGCGCGCCTCCGAATAAATTAATAAAAAAATATATAACGCTTGGAAAAAGGCCATACATCACAAAAACAGCTCACCTCCCAAGGGGTACGCTCACTACGCCAACCCTTACGCCAGTATCAGTTGTCCTGTATGGGAACCACGTTTCAACCATAGCCAGGCATAACCAACGACAACTCTACAAACTCAACTCCCAACCCTCAACACCAACACCACCGGTTAACACCGGCCCACCTCAGTGGCCACTCAACACCTAAGCCGGCCAGGTCGCGCGCTTGGAGCTGCTACCCCTTGGAAGAATGAGCTGAATCCATTTAAACGGAGTGTAGAATGCCAATGTCCAGCGTTCTAAGCAAAAGCAAAAAGGTATGACGAATTCCATCTAAAGTGATCAAGTACCTACCTACCGGAGCAATACGTAAACCCCCCAGTTACTTGAATATCCTGGGCAACATTTGGTGTTGACCAGTGAAGCGTCATCAATAAATTGTTTTTTATATTGTTTGTTTGTTTTTATTTTTACTTTATAATTCTTTTAGTTTTTTTCATATACCTACATTTTTTATACCTAACCCCCATTTACCCAAATAACCTAAGCGCAATTGGCGTTGATCAGTGAAGCGCCATAAACTACTATCAAAACTCATCGCTCCGACAGCGCCACGCCACTATAGCTGAGCCCGCCATTCACGGGGTGCGCTCACCATGGCAAACCTTATGCCAGTAGCCGTTTACCTGCATGGGAACCAAGGTTCAACCATAGCCAGGCATAACCGGACGACTCTACAAATGCAACCACCGCTCACAACACCATCACCACCTCGTTGGTGAACCGCACTGGCCCACATCAGTGGCCACCCAACACGAAACCCGGCCAGGTTCTGCACTTGGAGCCGCTATCCCGTGAAAAAGTGAGCTGAATTCACCCATACAGAGTGTGGAACGGCTAAGTCCAGCGATCTAAGAGAAGAAAACAATAAGACCCCTAGTTTGTAAATGATGAGTTGTAACCGATGAGGTTTTTTTTAACCTACCCCCCCCCAAAACAAATTAATATTTTAACTGGAAATAAACCATACCCAGCCATAAACCACTCCAAATATCTCCGCAACTAGCCCACTTTCCACCTCTTACTAACCATACACCCGGACCAGTTAGGCATCCCACCAACCCCTCCATTATTAACCAATTGCATACGAACTATATCAGCCATCAAAGTATAAAAAACAATCAACGTCCTTGCAAAAGCAATATTGCATACAGAAAACACAATACACATTAATAATTGAAAAATACTTCTTAGCGAAAGAACCCACAAAAAAAAAACTGAATTTCATACTCCCTTTGCTCTGCGACGGTTGCACTAGATCACCAAAAAACACGCCCAAGGCGGCCACAACCGAGCTGCGACCGTCCGACAGCTCAACACTCAGTTAGTACTGAGTGAGTGACGTCAACCCTGATGCTGGCGAGGGGTACCAGTGCCCAAAAATTTGAATTAGGTGGGAAACGTCACCCAAATGAAAATCACTGTTCACTCGCCTCCAATTTTTAATAGCCCATTTTCCACTCCCATTTTTACCCAGAAAAAGCATTTGCATGGATGGATAGCCATTTTACTTCCCACATTATACCAGCCTTTTATGAAATTTTGCCGCGCATCCTTTTTCACTCTTGTTAGGCCTTATTTGACCATCAATTTTCCACTCTTATCCCTTTTTGGCGAGAAATTTTCATAGACCCGGGAACAGGGGGGGGCAGCGGGGGTGCTTGCCCCCCCCCCCAACTTGAGAGCCGTGGGGGCGTCGCCCCCTCAACATTGAGGCAGCGAGAAAGGACCTTTCCTCCCTTTTCCGGACTTCTTTCCTTCTTGTTTCCTTTATATATCTTATCAGGACACGGCCTTTCCTTGCCATCTGAAGGGTTTCTGCCGATACAGTATCGATTTGATATCTGCTATTGTCATCCCACTTTGGTTTGGGCCTGACCCCGGCCATAGTTTGGCAGGCCAGCTTTTACATACATATACTGGACCATTTTGAGCCAACCTTGAGAAATAGGTACATAACGTACAACGGTGGTAAAATCGTTGCTATAGGTATAACACAGTTTACCCGCCCCGGGTGTGAGGGAGGGGTGTGGGGCAACGAGTGCACTGACGTGGCACCCACGGAAGGCCGGTATGGGATTATGTAAAGCTCAGCGACACCTTGGGCCTGTATGGTGCCCCCGGTTATCGGTAGCATCCTCAGAATCACCGGCGTAGGGCCCTTAGAGCCGCCGGTAAGGGGCCCGTAGAGGCACCGGTGTGGGACTGTCATGCAGGTGCCGGTGCGGGCGCTCAGAGGCACCAGTGTGACTCTGTCAGAGGCGCCGGTGAGGGTCCTATAGGCGTTGCTGTGGGCCCTCATAGACGCTGGTGTGGAGCAGTTACAGACTGGTGTGGGGCCTGAGCTGCTGACGCGAACCCTCTACAAGCCGGCAGGGGGTTCTCAGTGACCGGCAAGAGGCCCCTGTCACCGGTGTGGGGCCCTCAGAAGTCACTAGTGGGTGGTCCCTAGATGCGCACTGCGCAGGTGTTGGGTAGGGATTCGAGTCCTCACTCTCAGAGCCGCCGATATAGGGTTTTAATAGGTACTGGTGTAGGCACTCAGAGTTGGAGGCGTGAAACCCTCAGAGACACCGGTGTGGGTCCTCATAAGCGCCGATGAGGGCCCCCACAGTTGCCGTTATTGGGCCCTCAGAAAAATAATTGTGGGACCATGACTCAGAAGCCGGCGTGGGGCTTTAAGGAGATCTTAGTGTGGCAATTCAGGGCCCATGAGGTGCTCTAACGAGCCTAATGGGGCCCTCCCGAGTCGAAATATGGCCATCGTTAAGCCTCAGGTCAAATGGTGCCGCAGGGTCCCCCGGACCCGAGGGTCCCTGTGAACCCGATTGGGGGGGGGGGGAGTGCGTGTTCCCTTAGACCCCTAGCTACGCCACTGTTTCATATGCATAAAGTCAGGTATTTTAGGCTCGCCTCCCCCCCCCCCCCAACTTGAAAATCGTTCCCGGGCCCCCAGGAATTTTCCTCCGACACCCCAGCCAAAATACAATTTTGGGACACCGAGGGGTACCCCAGCCCTAACAACGTATACTGACTAAATCCTTGTAACTATTATTGATAGCACCTGACCTGTATTGTTCATTTGCTGTTTGCAGGAGAAAGGTCATCCCAAATCCTATAGCGACAAGTAGAAAAAAAGAAACAGACTGCTTTGAATATAGTTATAGACGATTTAACAAGCCTCAGCAGCAGCAGCAAACCAAGGTTGAAAACACGTTGAACTTAGAGTTGACTAGATTTCATTTTTTCTTTTAAATACCTTCAGGCCTCTGAACGATTTTATCAGAATTTTATTACTATCTTACTTTCCACCAGCATTGCCCCTCATGTTCCTATTGGTGGAACCAAATATCCCCACAAAAATGCCGATATCGCCCATGCCCAAGCGTTCACTATCTACCCTATCGGGTCCCCCTAGAACCTTCATTAACAGATATGTACCGCGCCCGGCATACATGGAACAACGTACCTTTCAAAACCCCGGCCACCTTGGCCTATACCTGACGATGTCCCGTAAGACCTGCTAGGCAGCACCACTGAAGCAAGATGAGCTGGGAGGTGTCGGAACTCCCTCAGCTGACGCGGGAGCTGTGAAGAAATCCTCCAGCGGCCAGAGAAGACTCTGGCCCAGCGGGCCGGCCCCGCCGAGTGTGCCGATCCGTCGCCGTTCAGAGTCGGATGCCAACCACCCACCAAGCCATGGAAGAAGAAGAAAAAAACGGATTGTGTCACATAACCATTTTTAGCCGAAAGCTCGTATCAAAGGGGGGTATCAAGAGGGGTTATACATACTGGAGCCATTTATCTGACAATGCGCGCGATGACACATCGGCAGGATATGCATATTGCATACTAACATTACCATGATGATTGATGTCGCTTATGCATGCCTAGGCAATGCTCTGTTTATTGACCACGACAAAAAGGCACCTTACTCTGGCAAAAAAAAAAAAAAACGATTCACAAACGCCACTACCATAAAAAACTGAAAACAGTTAACTCGCACCTCAATGTAGAGTGAGAGCAAAACAATCACGGGCTACCATAAAACTGCATCGTTATAGAAAATGGCATACCTAATGCAGTCTTTAAATATGAGGGTGAAAACTTCCTTTGGGTACTATCCTGTAACTTACTATATTATCGCCAGTGCATCCAAACTACCTAACATAATTTCCCATCTAATCTAAAATATCCTAGTCCCGACTCCCGAGACTTACCCCACAAGTGGTTTCCACTATCACCTCTGCACCTCCGTACCTATATCACCCACTTAACCTTCACTCCAACCTAACCAGGTAACAATACCATTTTAGACCAATACCATTGCATTGGGTATCATTAGCATGAACTCCATTTACCCTCTCAAGTCTCACCTGGTAGTTGGTACCCTTATTATCAACAATCCCTAACCCACTAATGAAAACCCCGCTCGGACACGCTCGGACACGCTCGGACAGAGCCAAACATCACCAGCAGCTCATTCTCCACGGGGTACGCCCACCTGGCACACCTTACGCCAGTAACCGTTCACCTGTATGGGAACCACAGTTCAACCAATACCAGGCACCACCAAACGGCAATTCTACCAACTCTCTGCACAACCACCGGCCAACACCACGTGGCCACCAAACCCTACGCCGGCCAGGCCCACCTGGCCCCCCTGGGCGTACCTCCACGGGGTACGCCCACCTGGCACAACTTACGCCTGTAACCGTGCACGTGTATGGGAACCACAGTTCAACCAACACCAGGCACCACAAAACGGCAATTCTGCCAACTCCAACCACCGGCCAACACCACGTGGCCACCAAAAACCCCACGCCGGCCAGGCCGTGCACTCTGAGCTGCTACACCGAGAAGCATGAGCTGATTTCACTCACACTGAGTGTAGGATGGCAAAGTCCGGCGTTCCGTTCCAGGGAAGATGAAAAAAAAACAGTTTCAGCTATGTTACACACAGCAAGAACCTACACCCAATCTCCCAAAATCTGAAAAATACCACCAAGCAAATTTCTACCAGCAGTCCATGTTTCATTCTTTTATCCAACCTTCAAAGAACCTATAATACAGGCATTTGCCGACCCATTACTCATCGACCCCTTTCTTACCTCGATAGCATAACATAAGCACAAAAATAACCAAACCTCATGCCGAAAATAAAAACAAACAACTAACAAACAACAAACCAGTAAAAATAAACATAAAAAACCGAAAGGAAAAACATCCTCGTCAATCAATATAACATTGATATAAAACCGAACTTATACTCCCCTTGATGTCTTCCAGTTTCCACTGAACACGACCGCAGTAAACGCAAAAACATTTCAGAGCGAGAACACTGCTGACTTGCGTCAGACCGGGCGGCCTAGAACAGAGTGACCGCGCATATACACTCAAACCCCGCGCCGCCACCGTCACGTGACACGAGTCGCTCCACCAATCAGAGGAGGCCGCCGCCTCAGCGGCCTTGCCGCCCGGGGCGCGGGCGGCCGCCCGCCTGCCGCCGAACGCTGCTCGCCGAGGCCGGCCCGGCTCCGGGGCCGCCCCAGAGAAGACGCTCGTAGTGTCGCGGAAAAACCGGTTATATCTTGTTATATATAACCGGGCGTATTTGTCGTTGAAAGTTGTTTCTATCGCACGTTTATCACGGGTAATTCAATTTTATGCATGGCATACCATTAATTTCCCTGTTGACTAGCCGAAAACGAAACGGAGGTCTAAGCCAATCTGGGCTTTTTTATTTTCGGCTCGATCCGTAGTTTTTTTTTCAATTAATCAAGTTTTCGCCTCTTAGGCCCGCACCTGCTCCCCAGTGTTTTCTGGAAAACGAAACATTTCCGAGACTAAAACAGCATGAGATCATTAAACATTCCCGATCCGTGTGAAGATGTTCATGCAACTGTACATACAAGTATTGCAGCTCACGAAATACGCACTACGCAGCCCATGAAATACGATGAAAAGAAAACACAAAATATGTGGTTCTGTTGCAACTTCTACTGGGTGAAAACGAACCACAAATTTTAAGTGAGTGCAAGTGGGTGGTAAGCTTAATGACACTCGCAAATACAAGCGAAACACCAGCGCAGCATAAAAAACATAAACTGCTTTCTGCGTATTGTATAGTATCTATGCCTACCTTCACAAAAACTCAGAATATAGTCAGATGTAATGCAAATCATCCAGCAATAAGAACCACAATCAATCATGAAGCTGAAGTACTTGTGTCATATAATCCGAACCATATAATCCAAAACCAGATCTGAAGCATTCATGACATGTGACTTGGCTTCGCCAAAAATTCCTGACAAGGCAGCACGGCTAAAAGAGGATGCCTGCCAGCGCTCTCGACCTAGTGATGACCATAAGCGCACACCTCAAACCACAAATTTAGGAGAATCCCGATGTCCTATTCGCCACTGACTACGTGTTCTAATTTTCAAATACCACTGTCTACCAGGGTTGTATACGACTCAATCAATAGCAATCAATTCAATCACGACAAATTTGGGAAACCAATCAAATCAATCAAGTCAGAGCAGTTTTCGGGAATTGATTCAATCGACTCAAACGCGACAATGAAAGGAATCAATCAACTCAATCAAACGACTCAAACCAACACATACATTAGGTTTTTTGCCCCACCAACTTGGAAAAGTGTCCATAGCAGTCTGGTGTACCTACCTACCTACCTTCCTACCTACCCACAGAAGAAACATAAAAATATTGTCATTTAAAATTATAAATTGCCATGCCATTCAAAGTTTCTATGTAATAAGGATGGATACCTAGTGATGGACAGGTGGATCATGATATTGAGGTTCAATGGGTAGAATTGGAGCAGAAGTTTCATTTAATGGGTGCAAAATAACCCAGTAGTTGACTCGCCCCTTAACCCAAATCACCACCTTTCACCTAAAGGTTGTCAATTTAATTTTGGCCATATTCCAACATGTCCATTTACACTAAATATCAGATATTCCGGTTGAAAGTTGGCTGCTCGGATTTTGGCATTGTTCATGATTTGGACAATTTACCCTACACCACGTCTATTTTAATGGATAATATGCATCAATAACATATTAACCATAGGGAAATGGAAATAAATATCTTACCTGCATGTGACGGTTTCAGTTGGACAGAGACTAACGGGCAACCTGAAAAATCTTTCCACACAATGTGCATTTGAGGCGTGGGATGTTGTCAGATTGGGAAGGAAGAGATTTGAAGTATTTAGCGGTCCGCGACTCTGGACGTGGCATGTCAATGTTAGGTACCTATGTGAAGAATTCAAAACATTTAATTGCAATACAATTTGAAACTGTTAGGACTGGGGGATAAGGATGAGGATTAAAAATATATTTAAAAGGAAATGGAGATGACAGGGACTCTGGAACCACAGGATAAGATAAGGACAAAGGAAGTAGGAATAAAGAAAATTAAAACGCGAAAACGGCACGGTGCGACTGTGAATAAAAGAAAACGTTTTGCCAATAAGTATGCTAAGCTTTTATAAATCCTTATTCTACGTGTTTTGATTTTTTTGTAAGATGACGTCATTGATTATCATGTTCTATGGTAGATCATCATAAAATAAATCGGTTGTACAACACCAATTTCGTTTTAATTATCATTTCATTTGAAATGAAACCACTTAATAATATTCGGTAGAATATTTAAAGGAAAATGAAATATATTAAATATGTTATGCTTAGGCTCTCAGGAGAAAAGGATCAACAAACGTTCTGCTGCAATTTAAACAATGCAGCAAATTAGCTATTAATTGGTATACGTAAACGTAATTAGCGAGACGAAAACGGCGCTTTTGTTTCAGTTATTTTTGTAGGGGTTTCAGATATTTATAGAGTTCAGTGGGTTGTTTCTGAGGAGATGTGGAGATGTGAATTATTAATTAATCACACTTTATTAGTATATAGGGCCTTGCACTTTATCATCTGGATTAAAAAAAAAAACGTTTCCTGCTGAGTGCAGAAAGGTAGGTAGGTGCATCGCTAGGTTCTATCACCAGGATTGGAGCAGTTATGAGTTATTGCAGTTGAAAGTCAAAGTTGGCCGTTCATGTTTAGGCCCTGTTCTTTATTTGGCCATCTACCTCATATTGCAGTTGTGATGACAATTGACAAGCAGTTTTCAGTGTAGTTTTGTGATCTTTGATGTCATCAGTTGGTGTCATTATTTTTCATCAACTAAAACTTATTTGAACTTTCCATTCAATCGACTCAATCATACGAGTCACTCTAATTTTCGGGAATCAAATCAGTCAGCCAGTCGCTAAAGTCAAACGAGTCAGTCAACCAGTCATCTCGAAAAGTCAATCGACTCAATCCAATCAACTCAAAATACGCGTTGAAACAAATCAATCAATTCAATCGACTTGATTGGTATACAACCCTGCTGTCTACGAGAGGAGTCGTAACGCTGCGTTCGAGCTACATCAGCGCATCAATTAAACAAAGGAAAACTACCAGTTTTGTTTTCGGCTTTCAGTTTGCACAAGTATTAACATAAAAACTGACAAGCTAATATGAGACGATAGCTATGTAAAGAGCTCCCGGAATTCATTTGTAAACGGATGCTATGCGGAAGTCATGCAGCCTAATGACTACCGTGGCTGGTCGGTGCTTCCATCCGAGTCGCTGTGTCATAAACCGGCAAATCCCACTAATGATCATCAGGGAAAGCTATATAACTGGTGAACAACTCTGCGGCGACACGCAAACACTCTCCCGAACAGAATAATGGCTATCACTGAACAATGCATTTCATAAAAGTGTTACCCCTAAAGAAGGCTGGATATGGCATATAGACAATTGGCATACTTCCTAGTTCCTACACACACGGCTCACGCCGGATGAATGCACTGCATGAGCGATGAATGCATGATTGGCAATAGCTTAAAAGTTAGATGAAATTTAGCACATACAGGGTGTCCGGAAATTATTTGCCCGCCCCCTCCCCCCCCCATCAACTCGCCGCCATAACTAATTAACAAAGAGCCCCCGGGGTCATGGTTTCTTTACCGATTTATCCCCTGCCCCGTCCTACGCATTGGCATTCCATAGATCAAGATGTCCAGAGTATCCGCGCTGATCTTCAGTCATTCCTTTCACAGGTTCCTCTAAAGTCTGTTTTGTGTGGGAGCTGGTTCAATCTTGCTGAGCTCCTCCCTCATGATTTCCCATTGGTTTTCGATTGGGATAAGGACAGAGGATTCGATTTGACTTCCCACTTCATTCCAGTCTTCACCATAACTTCAGCGCGATGACGCGTTGTCAAAGAGTTCCTTTCATCCTAGTGGAACTGGACACCACGTTCAAGTGCGAGTTACGCCTGCCTAACACTGGCCCCTGGCACCTCGCAAGTGTCAGAGCCAGGTGACCAGGTTAGGTCATGTGACTAACGGACAGCTGTGGATAGCCTGAGGCACGGTCTAAGCAAATTTTAAACAGTTCTTAAAGCGCACGGTGGGATTATAGCTGAATGAACAAGGGGGACATAATTTCTGGACACCCTTTATGACATAACCATATTCATTCATATTTATTTTGCACCAAACATTGGCAAATTCCCAACAGCTGATAACAAACAATCATCAGAAATCACAAAACCGTCATGTGTCAGCACGGAGCTTAGGTCACAGGGGTCACGGCCCCCGGTGGGACGTAGCATGTCAGCAGTCGAAGTAGGCGACGCGAAGCTTGGCTGTTGTCCCTCATCAAGAAGCGGATGCTATCTGCCAGTCCGTCTGGGGCGCGCGATGGCGTCACCCTGTGACTGCACGACCGTCCGGCAGCTGCCTCGAGCACGGCAGAGAAGTCGTTTCCGCACATGCGGGACAGTTGGAGAAGAAGAGAGTCGCCAAGCAAGTCGGGGCACATGGCCAACTTCGTCAGGCCCGAGAGGAATGCCTGCTGGAGACGGTGCTCGGACCGCAGAGCACCACTTGCAGCCCGGAAGCATGCCGACCGAATCAGCTCATGTGCTGGGGCTATACCGGCAGCAGCGAGGAGCGCTGAGTGGTGGGCGCGGCGAGGCAGCCCCAGCGCCGTCTTGAGGGTCGCTGTCTGAGTGGCGTGCAGCTCTTCGATGTCAGCTGAGTTGAGTGGAGCGGACGAACAGCCGTACGTCAGTGCTGGCTGAACCACAGTCTTCCAGAGAAAACATTTATCTGCTGGACAGAGCCCAGATGCCAGCATGCCGG